ACAGTAGATAAATAATAAATTCCAAACTGTTGATTATTTGGTTCCTGCAAAATCGTGTCAATGTCACAATAGCGATCCACATATTTTGGTAAAGCTGACATAAAATTTTTTCCTGCAAACAGTTATTGTTTCCTTTTTGGAGATCCGGATAAATTAGGATTTAGACAATGTTGTAGCACTAATTTATTTCATTCATACCTTAAATATAGAGAAACGCTATTTTATTTATTTATTTTTTTTTTTTTGACGAGTTGAAAACAAGCATCCAACACCGGATGAATGATACTAATGAATTTTGCTGGGTTAAACCTCGTACTATTATTGAAGACGGTTGAGTCACAGAATGCATTCCTTTTTATTAATTCTTTTCAGCATTTGGAGCGTTGTGTAGTTCAAAGCAATTGGATGTAAAAACATTTAGTTCGGGTTACAGAATGAGATTACGCAATTTTGAATGCTTTTTTTTAAGTGCTATTTGATTGAAAGGCGAGAAATTTTACTTTTATTTTTTAAGTTCTACAACTATTAATGATGTCGTCGTATAAAGAAAAAAGAATAACTTAATTAGATGATAGTTTATCCTTTATTGTTAGTCGTCTTTGGGCATTTGGATACCGCCTTGCTATTAATCATGTTACATATAAATGGATAAAACAAACAAAGTATATTGTAGAGTGTGGGAAGGAATTTTTTAAAAATTTTTGGCTAAAATGAAATTTGATCACTTTGTTCTTGCTACATGCAAAGCCAGCCTTTTTATCGCCTTTGGTATTTTATTTTATTTTTTACAAAGGACCCTTGATAAACCTACACTCACTTTACCAACCGGAAACACAATTAGAGATAAACCACCCTAGCAATTATATTTACATATTAATGACATTAAGCAAATGAATGGTGTTTTGGCTCCATTATTCTATGTCGAAATGCTTAAATTTAATCTCTAGTTAACGCTTTACGAACGGGGAAGTTTGGAACTCTTTTGAATCCCTGCTTTTTGGGTTTTACATGCATTGGTTTCTTCAGCATATCTTTTTCTTTTTTCTTTTTTCTTTCTAACTTCTTCTTAAGATCCATAATACTTCCTCCCGTTCTTATTCATTTCGATTTGTCATAGATTTAAGTTGATATATTCAATTCAAAAAAATTTTAAAATATTTTCGAATAATTAGGAGAACATAATGAATATAAAGAGATAAATTTAAGATTTTTCTTCCAATCGAAAAAAACATATCATTTAAAAATTATGACAAAAAACTGCCTCATAATATAGGAATATAACACAATCGGTTGATAATATCTCAGTACTGTTCAATTTATAATTAAGTCGATCGTCACCTAAAGTAACCATATATTTATAAGATCATCAAGGAACGCAATCCAAAACGTGATTGTTGGATTCCTGCAAAATCGTGTTGTCAATAGCTACCAACGTTATTCGGGAAAGTCACATTAACAATTTTTCTACCAGTCTCTTTAGTTCTACACTAATTACCTTTTCTTTAAAAGGCCCACTAATTATTCCCTCCGGCCTTATTATTATAAGACATTTTGATTTGTTTTAATTTTATTTATTATATTTGATGATTGAAAAAAAATCTTAAAATCATATTTTCACATTCATTATATTTTTTTTTATTTAGTAGGAAATATTTTGAAAAGTTTTTCACAATTGAAAAAAATTATATAAAATTGATAACAAATCAAAATGTCTCTTCTAATAAGAACAAGAGGCAGTAGCTTATAATGAACAAGTGAAATTCACAAATTTTTTGATAATACGCCACTTGTTCGCGGCGTCGTGGTAATGAGAATAAGGGATCCATGCTTGAATAAGGGCTTTGTGGGCTTTATTTAGGTGAAAGGCCGAAATTTTGTTTCTTTGATTTTGCCTCTAGTAATGAGAATTAGATTAGTTGTGTAGGAGAGGCAAAAATGTGACAAACCGATAGTAAAGAGATTTTGATTTTAGCATAATGTTCTCTATTCATCAAATTTTGTGAAGTAAAGTTAAAAAGAAACTTCATCAGAGTACGTACTTGAAAAAACGTTCAACGTCGAATGAATAATAAAATTAATTTCCACACTCAGTTTTTTTTTTTTTTAAAAAAAACAAAAGCCTAATCGGCAGAATGAATGAAAATAAATGATTAAAAGGAGTGGCGACCTTTCATTGTCAAATTTTTAACATTTCGACTGTTTTGTAGTTCTATAGCAATTGGATCTAAGATTAGTTTGGCTGAAGGGCTGTTCAATTTTTTGAATGCTTTTTCCGCAACTATTCTGTTTGATTACAAAGAAGGCTTTTTAAAAACATTTCCTCTGATTTCTCTTTTGTGTTTCTTTTCTTACTCTTTTATGCGTCCAAATTTCTTTATATTACGTGCATTGGGCACTCGTGGAAAAGGAAAATAGATAAGTTGATTTACAGTCTTGGGCTCCAATCTTTACCGTTCAATGTTTTTCTCCCCTTAGCAAGCAGAACAACATGGAGGCTCATTCACCAGCAGAACTACATGTAGTTTAAGAAATAAATGATCGGTGATTCAATTAGGGCTTTGTGCAGATGATGAAGGACAGGATTTTATATATATTTGAGTACGTTTGCCGCTGGTAGTGATAATTATTCATCAAATTTTGATTTTTATTATAATGTTCTCTATTCATCAAATTTTGTAAAAGTAACGTGAGAAAGAAACCTCAGAAACTTCATTAGAGTACTTGAATTCAAAGAATAAAAATAAAAATAAAAATAAATTATTTACTCCACTCATAATGAATCAAAGTAGCAACAACTTTTATTTGTCAAACTTTTAACATTTTGACTGTTGTGTCTATAGCAATTGGATCGAAGATTAGAATGGATGAAACTTTGAACGCTCATTTAATATTTGATATTATATGCAAGGGGTTCTATAATGGTTATTATAATTCCAAGATCAAGCAAAAGTTGTTTTGCTGCCATATACACATTTGCCATCATTATAAAAATACTTTTACATTAGTAAAGCACATGACAATTTGTTTTAGACGAATGGATTACAATTTTAACGTATAACTTACAATTAATTAAGTTAAGGAGTTATTGTAAAAGCAAATAGAGTGAATTAACTGACTCTAGTCTAGATAATCGCTACACACTCATAACATTAGGGAAGCAAATCATATATATATGTAGTGGTGGAGCCAGAACATTACCTTAGGGGGTACAAAATGAAATCATCGGAACAAATGTATTGAATGCCGAAAAATATTAAGTATTAAAAATGAACAAAATATTATTTTTTTCTCATTTAAGCATTGTGTATCAACTTGATTAGTTTTTTTCTGTTGATATTTTATGCATTTTAACAATTAAAAATCTAATTACTAAAGAGTTCAGCTTTTTTATTTTTAAGACATATGTTATTCATATATTACTAATAAATTATAGCGTATACCATCAAGACGATACCAAAATTTATTACATTCTACATTAATATTTAGTGTGTAGTTTCAATCATATACATTTTTATAGTGTTAAGGAAAAAAATTATATTTGAAATTTTGTAAAATTAAAATTTTAATCTCGTAACTTGTTGAAATTAGCATCGGCGAAATCAGAATCTAATGTAAACAAAAAGGAGCTCAACATAGTTTATTTTAGGGAAAAATAAAGGAAATTGGTCAACTATCTAATTTATAAATTGGTATCAGTTGATTTTACTTTTTCGATTTGGGTTTGAATTTAACTTACTGGCTTTTTGTTATTAATATTTTCTTTTACAAAGAAGCCCAATTCAATTAAAATGACTATCATATACTCTTTGGTTATTTAAAATAAAAAAATAAAAAAAAGTATATATTTCTTGACAAATTTTTTCTATGTCAATTTTTTTTATTGACCAAGAAAGCATAACTGAGTAAAAAAGTAAGACGAATTCATTGGCCCTTGTTCTCGCTACCCCAACCCTAGAGTGACGGCTTCACGCCTCCCCTTGGCCGCAATGGCCGGCGACCATCCGCCGGTGGCTGCCTCCAACCCACCAAAATCTTTTGCAAGTTTTTTTCGTAAGCCCTCTGAATCCGAGATCAACAAAAACCCCCTCATCAAACCAATACAATTCATAAATGGAACCCCAACCTTGGAGTATGAGGATGATGAATTTGGGAAACTCATCGCACCTCATCGTTTGAGCCTGGTTCGAAAATTCTCGTATGGCCACCCTAAAATGGAGGAAATTCATAAAGAATTCAAGAAGATAGGGTTTAATGGGGGCTATACTTTGGGACTCCTGAATCCGAGACATGTCTTGATTCATTTTTATGAAGAAGAAGAAGACTATCAAAGATGTTGGATTCGTATTTTTTGGAATATTGTGGGTTTCTCAATTTGCATTTTGAAATGGAAGCCGGGGTTTTGCTTTGAGGAAGATCCGCCCGTGGTTCCAATATGGGTATCTCTTTTTGATCTCCTGGTTGAGTACATGCATCCAGAGGTCATCTCCTCAATCGCAACAGGTATAGAGCAACCATTGAAAGTAGATATGCCGACCATGAATATGACAGACCGACGGTTGCCCGGTTTTGTGTTGAAGTGGACTTGTTGAAAGAGCTACCAAAATCTTTAAAGACTGGAAAAAAAGGGCGTAAATATGAACAAATTTTCACCTATGAACACATTCCCTCATATGGCCCAAAGTGCTGTAAGATTGGGCATAAAGAGTGACTGCCGTGTTGGGAAACCATTGCCACAAAACTCAATGACTGAGAAGGTTATGCTTCAAGCTGGGAAGAAGAAAGGAATTAAAATGCCACATCCGAAGTTGGTTTTGGGATCAAAACATCCTCAAGAGAAGCCATAATTAGAAGTGGAAATCCTGCAAACAAATCCGTTTATAATCAAAGCTGTGGAAGCAGAATAGCAACCTGCGGAAGCTATAAGTATGCCCTCAATGGAAATCCTAATCACACCCCGCGGAAACCCTAGCTCTGCGATGCTTTTGATCTCGCCTCCATTGATGATTCCGGAAGGTTCTTCTTCAGGTCTGACTGTGCAGGAGAAGAATGACACTCCTGTGGATATTACAGGGAGTCCTACACCTCCACCTCCCCTTGTTGCTGAAATCCTAGAAGTTGATGCTCCGTCTCCTCGCAAGTTGGAGGAACCTGTTTTAGTACCACAAACGAATATGTTTGCGGTACTACAGGAGATTGATGATGATGTTGAAAATGAACGAACCTTGGCAGAAGATAATGATGGGATTGAGAATGTTTTTACTGAGGTGAGGGAAGATCAGATGCCCATTACTAGTAATGATGATGCTGTGGAAACGGTTGCTGCTGATAAGAAGTACTTCCCGGATGATTCTTTTGTGCCAACGCAAGTTGATTGTGAAGAGGATAATCAAGTTTTTGATGGAGTTTGGTCGGAAGGTGAAAAAGATGCTACTGAAGTAATTGTCAAAGACCAAGGCGCGACTTCGGTTCAGAAAAAGCACGGCCGGAAGTCAAAAGCTAAGAAAGCTAATATGATTGAAGGTATGGAACTTCGGCGATCCCTTTGCCGGCAATAATCCAATTTTTTTTTTATCAATGATTAGTGTTATTTTGTGGAATATTAGAGGAATAAGGAAGCAAGCTTCTCAACGACGGTTGGCAGCCTTGATTCGGATGTATAGCATCTCAATGTTGGTAATCTTAGAACCAATGTTCGCATTGGATAAAATAGAAGAAATAAGGAGGTAGCTGAATTTTAATTCTGGTTTCTCTTCCAGTACTAGTAAGATTTGGCTTTTTTATAGTAAGAGTATGCTATAAACCGGCTTAAGGTTAGAGAGCAAATGATGCACTTAGAAGTTGTTTTTGTTCCCCTTCAAAAAAGATTCCTCTTAACAGCGGTTTATGCCAAGTCTAATAAAGTGGATAGACGCCCTTTGTGGGAGAATTTGGAGAATTTTCGCAGCTAGAATCCGGCCCAATCTTGGATTGTAGGAGGTGATTTCAATGTCATCCGGTCCTCGGATGAATACTCTTGGAATTCACTGCAAGACTTTGCAGCTATTGATGAGTTTAATCAGTGTATTGAAGTGAATAACCTAATGGAGGTTCTCCTATTTGTGATACTCTTCTCCCCTGAATGGATTGATGTGTTTCTAAAGGTTTCTGTGGAGCATCTACCCCAGACAATGTCTGATCACAGCCCTTTGTTGCTGATATTTGATGTTCAAACGGAGGACAAGCCGAGATTGTTTAGATTCCAGAAAATGTGGGTAAGAAGGTCTAATTTTAAGGAGTTAGTCCAAGAAAGTTGGTCACAGCCGGTTGAAAGTTTTGGAATGATGGCTTTTTCTATGAACCTGAGGCGGCTGAAATTTGTCCTTAAAGAATGGAATAAAAAGCAATTTGGTGATGCCTTTCAAAACTTGAGGTTGGCGGAGGAGAAGATGGAGGTTTTGGAGTCAACATATGATCACTCGGGGAATGCATCTGACCGGCAACGCTTAAATGCGGCTAATGCAGAATTATGAAATTGAGAGAGCATGATGATTTTTGGACGCAAAAAATGCGCTTAAAATGGTTGAAAGAGGGGGATGAAATTACAGCATATTTTCACGCTACATTAGCTGAAAGGCGAATGAAGTTTGGGCTGCAAAAGATACAAACGGAGGATGGAAGAGTCTTGACAAAGCTAGAGGATATTGAAAAGGAAGTGGTGGCCTTTTTTCAGAATCTCTTGACTAAGGAACCGGCTCATTGTTGACAGCATGAAAAACAAATGGCTTTTTGACAAGAAATGGATGATGAGCTGAATTTGGAAGATGAGGAAATGTTGATGAAACCAATCACAATGGAGAAGGTAAAGGCTGCGACTTTCAATCTTGAGGAAGATAGCGCGGCGGGAATGGATGGGTTTGGGGGCTATTTTTACAGGTCTTGTTGGGAGATAATTGCGGATGACTTGTTTGCAGCTTGTTAAGAATTTATGGGAGGTGTGTCATTGCCGAGAACGGTTGCAAGTATGGTCATTACTTTAATCCCTAAGAAGCCTTCGGTTACTACTTTCTCAGACTTCTGGCCAATTAGTTTGTGCAATTTCCTTAACAAGGTCTTCACAAAAATCCTAACTGAGAGGTTGAAGGTGGTGTTACCAAAAACTATCTCTAAGGAGCAGTCAGCGTTTTTGTCTGGAAGGGATATTATTACTGATGTTGTTTTGGCGCAAGATCTATGCCAATTTATAAACCACAAGGCGGCGGGAATAATGTGGCTCTGAAGATTGATATGATGAAGGCTTTTGATAGAGTATCTTGGAGTTTTTTGGAAAAAGTTCTTCAACAACTTGGTTTTCCTCCTCCTTTTATCCTTTTGATTATGAATAACCTTTGTAATAGCTTGTTTTCTGTGATGATAAATGGCTGACCAACAGGTTTCTTCCAATCGTCTCGGGGCATCAAACAAGGTGACCCACTTTTACCTTATTTGTTTATTTTGGTTGCAGAGGCAATGTCAAGAAGGGTTAAAGCTCTTGTGGCAACAAGGAAGATTGCGGGTTATGGTACCCTAGCGGGTTCTATGATGGTTTCTCACTTGAGTCTTGCGGACGATTTGATAATCTTTACAAGGGTGTGCAATGAGATCATTAAAAGAGCTGAATTAATTTTTTGAAGATTATGAGATTGCTTCTGGCCAGAGAACGAATCGCAGCAAGAGTTTCTTTTTGGTTGCTGAATCATGCCGAGCTTCTAGGGTTGAGGCGATTAAATGAAATCTAGAAATGCCTAAGGGATCTTTTCCTTTCATGTACTTAGGGTGCAATGTTTTTTATGGCTGGAATAAGGCATCATCCGTCCAATTTCCTTTGGATTCTTTGGATTCTAAAATAGGAAGTTGGAAGAATAAATTGCTTAGTTCGGGTGGTCGACTTGTCCTTTTGAGGCATTTACTAGCAGCAATACCCATTCATGTTTTCTCGGCAATCTCACAAGCAATGTCGATTTTAAAAGCAATGGAAAGGACGTGTCAAAGATTTCGATGGCAAGGCGTAGGTGAAGAAAAACGAAAGCATTAGCGTGCTTGGGAAAGATTGGCACTTCCAACCTCAAAATTGGTTAGGGTTGCGCCGGTTTCGAGATGTCATCAAAGCTTTTTCATGCAAAATTTGGTGGAAATACAAGCATCAAAATGGTCTATGGAGCAAATTCATTAAGTCGCTCTTGGTTTCAGCAAAGGAAAAAACTTCTTGGAACCAGATTGCAAAAGTTGATGATGAAGCTTCCGATTTATCAAAGGTGTTGGTTTGTGGAGGAAATAAATCATTTTGGTTTGACAATTGGATCCTGGAAGGAGTACTATAGGACGAATCAAATGATCAGCTGCCTTTTCAAAGCCTTGTATCAGGGAATTTTTTACTCATAAAGATTTCTTTTTACATTAATTGCAGGGGCTCTTAAAACCCGAAGTTGCCCGGAGCTTATTGTGGGCAGATGAAACCCTAACCCAAGACTGCGACTTGTGTGGCGACCCTCCGCGTCTGGCACTTTATCTATCAAAATAGCTTATGCTCAGCTGCGAAGGAGGAATGCAGAGGATCATTTATCAAAAAATATATCGCATAAGTTGATCCCTTTGAGGGTCTCTCTTTCTGTGTGGAAGCTGCGCAACATTCTTGTGCCATTTCCAGACATTTTAAGCAAATTTGGAATTCAGGTGCACCCATCTATGTGTTTGTTTTGTAAAATGCATGAAGACACGATTGCTCATGGTTTTTTAGGATGTCTAGAAGTGAAGGCTATATGGAAACACTTCTCAAATCTCTTTTCTGTTCCTTGGATGGAAAAATATGGTATTGGAGGAATGGTGAAGACGAGATTGCTATGAAACAGCCTTAAAAGCCTAGATTAAAGTAGCTCCATCTTTTATCCTTTGTGAAATTTGGAAAATAAGGAACAAGATGATTTTTGATGGTGAGTGTTTTAATTTGCAAAAAGTGATTCATGCAATTATGGGCTGTTTGCGGAACCTTTTGATTTTTCATGAATTAAAGGCTCGAAGTGAGGTAGAATGGGACCACCTTGCCCGGCTTCTTGATGTGTATTCGAGACAGGTTCAGAAAAGGAGTTGTACCTCAGTTCATTGGGTTGCTCCTAATCAATGTTCCTATGTTTTAAATACTGATGGCTCCTTTGTAAACTCAGAGTCGGCTATGGATTCTCCATTCGGAAAAAAGAAGGTGGTTTTGTATATGGAGAAAGTGGCTATTTAGGAGGTGGGGATAGTTTTGGCGCTGAAGTGTATTGGCTACTATTTGGAGTTCGAAAGTGTGATCAACTTGGCTTGATGAATGTGACAATTCAGATGCATAACCAAACGTTATCTCTTCTTTTGGTGGACATGAAGACAATACCTTGGAAATATCATTTGCAGCTCGCAGAAATTCATCAAATAATCACAAGGTGCTCTTATTCGGTACAACATATCTTGAGAGAGGCAAATGCTGTTACTGATGGCTTTGCAGGGGAGGCGTCACTTGGAATCTCAAATACAGATAGTAGTATGGGAAGCTTACCTAGACATCTTAGAGGACTTGTGCTCTTAGACCATGTTTCTTTTCCATATGTACGTAGTCGTTATAAGTAGTTGCTTGTATACTAGTAAGTCTTATGCACTTCCAAGTTCTCTGATTGGTATTAAATCAAATATGGGGAGGGGTGGAACTAGGGAACTATATAGTATACATGTCTATCCCTTGGGTATACCCCTTGGGTGCATTATACTATATGACACTGGCTAACTCAAAAATTTACCTCCTGGATATACCGCTTGAGTTTTTTTTGAGTTAGTCGGAACCTGAACACCATCCTAACCTTTCCTCTGAATAAAAAAAAAAAGGTGTAACATATAATTTGAATTCACAAAAAATTGTTTTACGTATTATATATCATTAAAAGTAATTCGAAGGGGTACGAAAGTCATATTATATATTTTATTTCTACATAATCATTTATAATTCTTAATAAAATTAAAATCGGAGGGGACGCGACCGCACCGGCTGGCCCCCCCTTCCCTCCGCTATATATATATTATTCCCCAAGATTTATATTAATAACAACAGAATGCTTGCTTTAACCCTTATGGAAACATAGAACTTGTATATAGGGCAATGGTACTCAAGGAGATCGTCGAATTTCCACCTTTTGGATATGAACAAAGCCCTGAGGTGGCCTTGGTTCAAGTCTGATCTGGTGCAGAGGCTTGCCAAGAGCGCGTAACATGAAAGATTTCAATTCCAGGTGGCCAAGATTGTGGCCATTTTAAATCTCCCAGATCTTTTATTAGCAAAGAATTGTGGAAAGCTTGAGAGTTGAGTCCATCCCGCCTCTCCGATTAATGAATACCCATACCACAATTACTTAAACGGATAAACCAAAGGACGGATAGGTTGTAAAACTTTTCAAAGTCAAGCTTTAACTGGTGTTGGCTAAATCACTTTAAAGCCCGGAGTAGATGATAGCCACTTCTATTTAAAGTTGTAAACACTTGAACTAAATTCTTATCCCCCCTCCCCACACAAAAAAAAAAAGAAGAAGATGAGATGGAGATGGAGGAAATGGAATATTTGTAAGTTGGTTGTCCGGCGAAAGATTTAGAGGAAAGCCAGAGGAAAAACTGGAGGAACTCTCCAATACATAGGCGCCAAAAGGAAACCAAAATTTATTGATCTTAGAATTTATTGTATCTTCCAACTAGACCAACTACCAAAAAGTTTTTTTTAAATACTGTACTACTAAAATTAATATTAAGCCTGGCTGGACATTTAAAATCCTGGCTGGTTGGTCATTGAAACTGGGTGGTTGAGCTCCAACATGTTTTTCGCGAGACAAGTTTCGTTGCTAATTATTTAACTTCTTTAGTAGCACAAGTCCGGGGCCGGGACATACAGTGGCTACAATCTCCATATTCAGGGTCAGAACTGTGGTTGGAGCATGATCTGGTATAGGGGTGACATGTCCCCATAATGTATAAATCTAAAATATCACAAGTCACCTTTATTGTAAAAATAAAATAAAAAATAAAAAAAAATTCTGACCCATTGAATTGAAGTACAATGGGACTGGTGAGAGCTTTTGGCACACAAATACAAGTGGGCTTTCTAAAGACCAGAGAATGATGATGAATGAGTGATGCCAGAGAAAATGACTATATGGTTTGATTGCGGGAATTTAAGCAATATAAAAATTCCTTATCTTGATGACTAGAGTATGCAACACTTAATTAATGATCTTAGTCATAGAAAAGTAAAAATTTATACTTTGACTCTCATCAGACACCCAAGTGTAATTTCTCCATTCCCTTCTTTGACTGTCAGAGAGTTTTTTTAGCATAGAATTCTATACTTGGCTGAGTTGCAAAATTCTCTGAATGCGGATGTATTGGGTTACTTGGTGAACGTGGAAATGAATTTTTCAGAAACAGATGATGTGTTTGTATGGCAGCCAAACTTGGTGGGTAAGTTCTTACTAAAGTCTGCATATGAAGCTATTAGAAAGAGGACTTTTGATGATCCAACAATGAAAAACGTTTGGCATCAAACAATTCGACTTCAAATTTCCAAATTTATGTGGAAATTATGGAATGAATTGCTTCCTTTTTTGGAGGTACTGTGGATGTATGGTATACAAATTTAGCTATCGATTTATTTACTGTGTAAAGCTAATTCTGAAAATGCTCAACATTGCTTATATTAGTGTGATTTTGTGAGGCATGTTTGGAACTTGATGAGTCGAATATTTACATACATATTTATATATTTTCACTTAAGATTTTGTGTTCTTTTTATATACTTTTGAGGATCATAACTTAATAAAATCTTTGTCTGTAGAATTAAAAGAATTGGAAGTAAATGGAGTTAAAAAGGGACGAATTGGACTGAATTGAAGAAGAAAAAGAAAGCTAAGGGATGATTGGAAGATTGAAGAATTATTGAGGAGAAGAATGAAGGAGTTGAAGACCCGAAGGGCCAAAATACAAATTTGAGAATTTAATTCCAATTCTGGCCGAGAAGAATTCCAAATAAATATTGGACTAGCTTGTGACTAATGTTGTTGGCCGCTGGACTTCACTTGCTATTGGATTCTTGTCATGATCAGGGGTTTGTTCAGAAATTCTGAAAATATCGGGGTAGTTTGGCAATTTAGTTTGACTATTGACTCAGACAGATTTGGTAATCAATCATTAGGAATTAATTGTTTCCTTTTTGGGTTGTATTTCAATTTCCAGAAGATTTGGGATAA